CGGACCAGGGATGGAGACGGAGGATGGCGGCCTGGGGGGCAGGACGCGGACAGGACCCGGACCAGGGATGGAGACGGAGGATGGCGGTCCGGGGGCAGGGGCTGTAGGCAGGGCAGGCCGACTGCTGGCTGAGCAGATTTCATTAAGGATGTTATTATTTTTTAAATGTATCCCCCCGTGAGAAGGGGGATAAAAATCGAAGATCCCACCTGTAGGTTCAAATACACATGCAGCACAGGGCCATTTCAGGGTGACTTTCAGGCCCAACTGCAGTTAAAGCAAAGAGATCCATGAAGAAGGCATTTGTGTGCCTTTGACCACCTTCAGACAGGCTTTAGGTTTGAAAAAGATTGGTGATTGTGGTGGTTTTCCTCTCCATCAGTGTGGCCCCACAGGGAGTCGGGCTTCCCAAGACAGCCTCCATAGAGTAGAGCTCCAGTGAGGCCTGAGGGAGCAAAGCAGCAAGACTGCCCATCCGCCCCTTGCTTCAGGAGGGACCGACAACTTCCTCCAGCCACCCCCTCAGGCTCCTTGCTTCCCTGGCTTCTCCACAGTTGTGTAATGTGTATTGGAATAAATAGTCCTTTTTTAATATTATTATGGTTCTATTTCCAATTGACCTACTGTGATTTGGTGATCTATTTATGCTTCTCAGAACCCCATTCTTACTTCAAAGAAAATAAATACATTTAGTACTTTGTGGCTCTGCCACGCGAAGACTTACCTTAAAAAAGAAAAGTTTTGGGGAACCTGGCTGGCGCTGTCAGTTAAGCGTCTGCCTTCGGCTCAGGTCATGATGCCAGGGCCCTGGGATCAAGCCCTGCGTCGGGCTCCCTGCTCAGTGGGAAGCCTGCTTCTCCCTCTCCCTCTGCTGCTCCCCCTGCCTGTGTTCTCCCTCTCTCTCTAGCAAATAAAATATATAAAAAAAAAGTTTTTACTTCCACAATATTTACATCTACCTACATCCTACACTCTTGTATAGAATTTATAACGTTCTGTATAATCTACTAGCATAACATATAATTGTTGTTACTATCTACCTCCTACAACCAGAAAACACATTCCACGACGGCAAGGGGTTTTTGTCTCATTTGTTCATGGATGCAGCTTTAGTACCTGAGCATGGCAATCAGTATCTGCTGAACTGAATGAAAATTAACAATGCAAACAAGCCTCCCAAGTATGCATATTTTAGGGTAGAAGCATACAAAAATGTAGTCCAACACTATGTTTTCAGGTAAGTGGATGACCTCATCCACTGCACAAAGGAAAACAGTCTTATCTTCAAACACCAAAAACCTAGTGAAGCCCAGACTAATGTCCACATTCCTCTGCCTCCAAAATCTAACCTCTCTTTACAGATGACACCCAGGAAAGGTGTCATGACGCCGGTTCAGCCCAGCCAAAGGCTGGGAGAGCTCATGAGCAATGAGAGGAGAAGACAGGACCCATATGTGTGACCAGCCATCAGGTGAATACTTACTTTTCCCCAACTAGCCTTAAAATGTCAGTGGTCTCATTGAATGGTCCGTATGGATACGGCACTGTGAGGGTATGGCCCCACGGCCAAATGCAGTATTTAATACAAGCCCAGAGACAGAATACCAAACTATATTTACTGTTTACAGTAGCAAAGGACAACAGATAATGTACAAATTGGTGAATAAGCAGAACAGAGCCAGCAGACATCCCACCCATGCCCGAACAGCAAAACACAAAGGAAATGCGAACACCTTCAAGATTTCAGGCAAGCAAGAGATGACGGTCATGGTCATGCTCTGTGACTAGAACAAGGCAGCAGTGGGTCCATACACAAAGACAGGAGGAAAACTATCAGTTTAATTGGTACAGATCCCAAAACATCTCACAGAACTAAAATCATATACTAAAGCGTAAGTCCCATACCTATTTGGAAAGCAGCACAGCCCAAATCCGTGAGGGCGACATGGAGTCACCTTTCCATGGGTTCCATGGGTAACATACTTTGAAGCAGGCCTTTCACACAAAAACAAGTGCAAATTCAGCAATACTGAATCTTGCTTTTTTACAGAGAGACCACAATTAGAGGAGGAGAAATCTGAGCCCACACTATGACCAAGTGAGACACATGGGGACTGCTTTCTTCTCTATTAAGGGGAAAGGCCCGTTTCTGCAGCCCCAGGCTCCAGGCAGCGGGTGCTGGTGCCCAAGGCCACGTTACTGAAGGACCTGCTTATTTTCCTTTTCACCTTTTAAAAAGCATTCCAGTATTTTCCCTTCAACTTTACCATATCCTGAAATGCAATATTTAGCATTTAAAAAACCTGTGCCATACAAAATAGTAAAAGTTTGTCTCCCATCCCCAAATCGCCCCCAAAACTTGTCCAACAGAAGCACCCCCGCTGTGGTGCCGTGAGCTCTCGGCTGGAATAAGTGGTGCAGGGGCGGGGATCAACCCCTGGGGTCAGATCCCCATCTAGACTAAAAGTGGACATTCAGACCACAAGTTTGGGGGCAAAGTTAGAGGGGAGAAAAAACAAAAATGAAAGCAAAAACAAACCCAAAAACCCTCACAACTCACTTCACCCCAACAAAGACAAGTGTGACTGGCCCGCTTTCAGCTGCAGGCTCCCCCCTGCAGACAGAGTTCTGAGTTGCCCTCACAAAATGTCAAAGAGAGGGAAGTAATTTTGGTGACTGTCCCCAGGTTTCTGCAGACTCCGTTGTGATGGGTATGGTCACTCGTTCACTCTTCAGCAGACGCAGGGACGACACGGAGGGGACAGACACAGCCGCTCTGCCACGAGCCCCCCGTCTGCTGCTGGAACACGTCGATGGTGTCTTCGTCCTCCATCTCCAGCTGACCAGGTCATCGGGACCGGCGCGGTGAGAGAGGGGAAAGCGGTTAGTTTCCTCGCCATCCCAGGAATGCAAAATGCCCACCTGAACGGATGCGCAGGTTCCCTGCACAGTCTTCCTCCCCTTGGAGAACACCGTCCCAACCGCACCTGTGCGCGGCGGCCTCTCCACGGGTGTGCCAGGCAGGGAACGATGCCCAGCTGTGGGTTTCCAATGAGCCCTATTCATCCACCAAGCTTCCCCTCACAGCACTCACAAAAGCAGAGTCAAAGCCAAGGACTTTGATAGAAAAACTAAGCCTCCGGGGGCGCCTGCCCGGCTCAGTCAGTAGAGAATGGGACTCGTGATCTCAGGGTTATAAGTTCAAGCCCCACGTTGCGTGTACTGATTACTTTAAAATTAATCAAATCTTTAAAAAGAAAACTAAGGCTCATTACAAACTAAACAAGTGTCTGGGGCTCCTGGGGGGCTCAAGTCGTTAAGCGTCTGCCTTCGGCTCAGGTCATGATCTCAGGGTCCGGGGATCGAGCCCCACATCGGGCTCCCTGCTCCGCGGGAAGCCTGCTTCTCCCTCTCCCACTCCCCCTGCTTGTGTTCCCTCTCTCGCTGTGTCTCTCTGTCAAATAAATAAAATCTTAAAAAAATAAATAAATTTAAGTGTCTAAAATTTTTACTGAACATGACACAAAATCCCATTCCACCTAGGAGTATCTAATGAGCGGTGTGGACTCCTGGGGACCAGTAGGACCACACGCTTCATCATAAGTGCCGCGGGCCATGCCCGTGGACTCCAAAGCAAGCTACATCACACAAGGAGGCTCTGCTAGAGCAAGGGAGCACTGCTGGCTTGCCACTCGGCTCCTTCCCTCTCCTTCAAGACCAGGGTGGGGATGGTGCAAACGTTTCCTGCTGCCGGATTTTTTTTCCTGGCTCAGGGGGTACACAAACATCTACCCTGATCTCTGCCCATTCAGACAGAGACTACCGAGGCTGGAAGCAGTAACATTTCCCAGGGATGCTCTCAGGCTGGGGCAGCAGGGTCCCTCCCAGGCTCAGACACCACCCAAGCGGGAGCAAGAATGATGGGCAGGCAGGAGAGCCAGCGTGCTCCTCCAGCCTCCCAACTCCCAGCACCCCCCGCAGCCCGGTGCCCCGTGTGAGCGGTGTGAGCCCTCCCAGAGCGGGCACGCGCGCGCACACACACACACAGCCTCTCGCTGTGCGGTGCCGCCACGGGACCCACTCCGACTGATTCTCACAACGCTGTGCAGGACAGGAAACAGGCATCCCCGTTACAGGGAAGATGGAGACTCCCAGAGGGTCAGCGGCTCTCGATCACAAGGTCGCCCAGCTGACAAATGGCAGCAGAGCCGCTGACCTCAGCCTCCTCTTTCCGGGCCCAACGCCCTCCCCCTGCAGTGTGAAGGGAGGTAACGGGATGGGTGTGTGCTGGGTGGCGGTGAGCAAACACCCCGTGACGGGTGACGGCGTGTGTGCCTGTCCCTCCCGCCCACACCCCTTGTGTATAGATACCGAAAGGGCACAAGAATCAGGCCAGCAATTTAGCTGCAAATCCGGTGTCCAGATACAAGGGGCAGGCGCCAGGACAGGTGGCCGGAGCGGGGGGCCCCGGCCCGTGACCCTGGACCCACTGTCAGCACCTGGTCCTTCGCCCCATCCCCCAGCATGGAGGATGAGGTCTGACCACGTGCACTTGCCTCATTTGGAAAACTGAACTCCAAATTTAAAAATTAAATAACCTACTCATTAAAACCATTAAGAAATGTCAAGTATTCTATGTGGGCGCCCACGTGGCAGTGACCAGATGCGAGCCGTAGCAGCCCCTCAGTGCAGGCGGCTGGTTTTCATACCTGTGCGGGGGTGTCTGTTTCGTTAATTGGCTGCCCATCAAACCTGAATCTAATCTGTCTCATTGACAAGCCCTGAAAAGAGAAACCAATTATCGTTAGATATTTCCAGATAACACCTTAATTCCAAAAAATAAAACATTTATCTTAAAATATCAGAATTCTGAACATACAGACTTATGATCCACTTGATTATAAAAACAGGCCAGCGGACCTACAATCCATTTCACGTGATGCCCAGCACGGATGCTTCCAGAAGCTCTCACGCCTTCCAGCTCCCGGGGTCCTGCCCCACCCCTCCCCCACTTCCCTCCAGAATCCAGCAGAAGTTTCACACCACTGGCACCACCACCTTCTAAGAACTTCCGTGGGAGAAGCCGTCAGGTGACAGTGAGGCCTAGGTCACAGGACCGCGTGCGAGCGGGAAGGAGCCCCGGCCACGGGGCCCGCGGGAGGCCCAGCAGAGCGTCTTCCGTCCAGGAAGGAGCATGTGCAGACTTCCTGTGTCCCGAGGGCAGGACGAACATGGTCGGGGAAGACAAATATCCCCTCTTAAAAAGCAATTCTGATTTCACTTAAACGGAACAGGCAGGATGAAAACATGCATCTCTGTTCCCTCCTGAAAAGATACCAAAAATTTAAGGCATGAACCCCAGGGACGAAGAGAACAGGAAGGAGAAGGAAGAGACACAGACACTGCCGCCGGCTGGGCGCTGCAGGGCCATGGCTACTAGACCCCAAGGTCAGGGTGCGGGTGGGGGCCACAGGGCCTGGAGCCCCCAGAGGCCTGCGGGCTGATTTTGGATGACTGCTTGGAAGCTGACACAAGAAAGGTCCTTTCAGACCCTCAGCTCAAGGCGCCTCCCCCAACGCCAAGCGGCCAGGCACTGTCCCTCCCACGGGCAAAAGATCTACTTTCTGGAGACGTGGACTCTGAGGCCTGGGCGCAGGACACCAGGGCCAAGTGACAGCACCGCCAACCAAGCCCCCTCTCCCCGTCCAGCCGCACGCCCAGGGCACAGACGGGAGCCTGGGAGGTCCACTTTGGGAAATTCAATGACTCACAGGTTGCAACACCTGCGAGCCCCGCCCCCCGAAAACCACCAAGCCTGGCAGGCCACCCCACCGTGGCTTGTAGGCTCTACGCATGCAGCTTTTCGTCAGCTTTTTGGGATTCATTCTTAGATATGAGCAGTTAACCAAGGACTTGGGGACATGGAAAGAAAGGCTCAAATGCACGAGCCATCCAACCAACGAGGAAGGAACAGCGGGCACGGGAAGGGAGGGCCCGGAGGACACAGAGAGACACTGAAATCCTCAGGGAGGCAAAAAACGAGAGATAGTTGCTACTGGGGAAAGGAACCCTCAAAGAACAAGAAAGAATGAAGAAGGTTTGGAAATCGGAAACTGTGGCAGATGCAAGAGTGTCCACATAAGGTGGGACCAAAAAGTTGAAAGAATCTCCCAGAAAGAAAACCAACAGCAACAACAACCAAGCCCGATGTCAGGTGGGCAGAGACGCTCCCGAGGGACAGGCCCAGAACAGGGGCTCCAAGGTGCAGGGGCGTTCCAAGCACAGGGGACAGGACGGGAGAGGGCGTAAGCTGTGTTTCCTCAACTAAAAACAAGTTTCGACCTGGGAAGTGCTCCGTCGGTGGAGCCCTCGACCCTCGATCTCGGGGCGGGGGAGATAGTGATGTTTCAGGACACAGAATAAGGTCCCAAAAGCTCTGAGAAGAGCAAAGTTACATCAAAGGACAGAGAATCAGAATGTTACTGCACTTGCCACTCCAACACCAGAAGAACAGACTATGTGATAAATCCAAAAAAAGAAACTGAGTTTCAATCTAGAAATGGTCAAGCGTGAAGGTTTATGAAAAGTAAATCACCATCAGACACGCAATACCTCAAAGACGCTGCATTTTATAAACCCTTTCAGAGCAAGATGCTGGAAGACACGCTCTGCCGAAACAGGGGAAGATTAATCCAGAAAATACATAGGATGGAGGCCAAAGAAGTCTCCAGAAGGAATGATTGAGGTGGTTCTGCGAGGACAGCCATGCGGCAGGGCAGGAGGGAGGGGCAGCAGGGACGTGCCCCCTGGGCGGCGGGTGGAGAACACGGGTGATGAATTCACACAAACACCCGGAAAACCACACACGACCCCCAGACCCCGAGGCAGACAAGAGCCAGACGTGAGGCAGTCCGCTGTGCGCCTCCTCGGCCGCGGCAGAATCCAGCACGTCCCGAGCAATCTCCTGGCAGGACGCGGGCAGGAGCGAGCGCGGAGGGCAGTGTCAGCGGCATGTCCACCTTTCTTAGCGGAAAATAACGTCTAAAGCCAAACACATGAAAAAACAAACTGAAACACACCTACTGAGAAAGAGTAGAAAAGGAAGCAGTCGCCGAGGAGGGCGGGAAGGCCTCTGAGAGCAGGTCTGAAAACGGGGGACACGAGGAAGACACGCAGCTTTCCTACAGGGTTTCTTGTCATGACAGAAGCCCCAGGGCCGGCACCAGGAGAGCCAAGAGCAGAACCAGCCAAGCACCAGGATGTGCACAGCACATGGACACAGGCTGCCTCCCGCTCAGAGGAACCGGGAGCCTTGGAGAAGAGCCCGCGCCGCGTGGACGGACGTGGAGGGCCTCGGGTCCCCACGTGTGAGTGAGAACCACGGGCAGCGAGGGTCAAAGCACCCGTGTGTGGGAGACACTGACGACAACGACAGTAAAGGGTCAGGCTGTCACCGGGAGGACGCTGGGGATCCGGCCCGCCGCTGCCGGTGCCGGTAAGTGAAGGGGAAGAATCAGGCACTCTCCGCAACCGAGCTGTGAGGACAGCCGGCCGTGTCTCCACGGACGTGTTCCAGCCACTGCAAGAAGGAACGTGTCCACTACTCTGCAACCCGCGCATCCGAGGGACGCTGCCACACATGCCTGACTCCGGAGGAAAAGCAGTGTGACACGGCTGTGGACACAAGAGCTGACGCGCCGCCAGACAGAAGACCAACAGGAGCAGAAGGAAAGAGCCAGCCAGTGGCGTGCATGCCTGTGCACGGACACACGCAACCGCACATGCACTCACACACGTGCACGCGCACGCATGCACACACTCGTGCACACGCTCACGCACACACGCACTCCCACACATACACTCATGCACACAGTCATGCACACACACTCATGCACGCGCACTCACGCACGCACACACTTCAGGACAGCAGAGCCCGGAGCAGCTGGGCACCGGCTGCTGTCATGGAGCCACTGCTCATCGTCAGAGGCACGGGGGCCAGGGCGCAGGTGGGACGCACCTGCCTCTCGCAGTAGGCCTTCATCAGCTTGCTCAGCGGGGTGTGTCTCTTGATTTTGAACTGGACCACAGAGCCGTCCTGCCCGGCCACCTTCAGGTTGATGTGGTCGTTCTCTGTCTTCACGCCCTCCTGCAAGCACACACAAGACTGGGTCTCAGCACCCGCCCCCCACGGCCACCGTTCTCACAGGCCCACCTGTGGGTACCTGCTGGGGTGTAAGGCTTTAAAACCAACCAATTCCTACAGTTCTCCAGTGGCCCAGAGTCCCTGACACAACTGCTGCATCTTTACACAGAATGCACTTCCAACTTCTACCCGTTTGGCACACAACACAAATCTACGGTTTTCGGATTATGAATTCAAAGGAATAAATCTGCTTAATGACTCTAGAAGAAAACCAAAATCTATCTTTGCTTTAAGATGACTCTTCAAACACACCCTCCCAGGGTGCACACACCGACACGGACCGCGAAGACAAAATGAGACAAGCATCGTTGACGACCATGAACACGAGGGCCATGGCGGCCTCTCAGGCAGTCCCACCCAAGTGGCATTTTTTGCACACTACATGACACTCTCAGAGCTCCTGAGCAATCAGAACTGGGGTTTCTCAGCGCCTGGAAGCACATCTGGAATCGAAGCAAGACGCTGATGTCCAGGAGCAGCAGGCCACCTGGGGCTCCTCGGCCCGAGCTGGTTTCCAGGAGGCACACCCACGGCGGGTCCTGTGGGGACAGGGCCGTCTCATTTAGCTGGCACTGTTTGGGAACACAGGAACCCTTTATTTTGAACAAAATGAGAAAGCTGGCCCGAGTCCTTCTGGAAAATAAAGTCTGACGTAAACTGCGTTTGCACGTCCTCCTGTGGGTCCTGAGGGTGGGGACCCATGGGGCCGACCTCCACGCTCAGCCCATCTGTACCACCCCCACAGCTGCTTCCCTTCCCCCCGGCGCTGCCTGTGCACCTGGGCTCCTGGGGACATGGAGAGCCGGGCGAGAAGCGGCCCCGGAGGCAGGACTCCAGCAGCACGGCAGAAAGCGGACCAGCTGGGGCACGCTGTGGCCGGGGTCGTGGCAGGCACGCAGACACTAGCTGGTGCCCTCCATCTCCGGAACATGGACTCCGCTATGGGCAACAGGGCCTTGCACACGGGGTGCTCCGTGACCCGAGGCCAGGGTAGAGCTGGGGAGCTCATTCCCCAGAGACGAAGGATGCATTTGTTGGGCTTTTTTTTTTTCAAATAAAGGTTTTATTTTGGAATAACTGTACATTTACAGAAAAGGAGCAGGCAGACCAGAGCTGGGGCTGCGCCCAACCCTGGCCAGGCTTCCCTGACGTTAACAGCCCACGCACCACACCCCGTCCGTGCGCCTGAGAGGCCTGCGCGCCGCCACACTAGCAACCCATCACAACACTCTTCTGACATTTCACCAGTGTTTCCACTAACAGCCTTTTTCTCTTCCAGGATCCAATCCAGGCTAGCACACTTATATCCATTTAGAGATAGGATTTTTTTTCATTTTTTTTTGTGTTAAAATACACATAACAGGGGCGCCTGGGTGGCTCAGTCGTTAAGCATCTGCCCTCGGCTCAGGTCATGTCCCAGGGTCCTGGGATCGAGTCCTACATCGGGCTCCCTGCTCTGCGGGAAGCCTGCTTCTCCCTCTCACACTCCCCCTGCTTGTGTTCCCTCTCTCGCTCTCTCTCTGTCAAATACATAAATAAAAAAAAAACTTTTTAAAAAAATACACATAACATAAAATCTACTCTCTAACCACTTTTGGCTGGTACTACATACAGACGTAATGTCCTACAACCTTCACCACATTCATCTCTAGAACCCTGTTCAGGCTGCAGAACTGAAACTCTGTGCCCACTGAACACTGACTCCCCTCTGTCCACCCCCCCCAATTCTCTGTCTCTATGATTTTGACTCCTCTAGGCATCTCATAAAAAAGTGGATCACACAGTGTTTGTCTTTTTGGGGCTGGCTTATTTCGCTCAGCATGATGTCCTCAGGATCCAAACCCGGTGGAGCAGGTGTCACCTTCCACTGTATGGGTGGGCCACGTTTCGTATGTCCGTTCCTCTGTCTTCATCTGTCCATGGACACCTGGGTTATTTCCGTATTGTAGCTGTTATGAGTAATTCTGCAGTGAGCGTGGGTGAACAAGATCTCTTGGAGACCCTGCTTTCAGTTCTTTGGGGCAAAGACCCAGAAGTAGAATTGCAGCTCCATATGGTAATTCTATTTTTAATTTTTGTAGGAACACCCATACTCATTCTCCAGTGACTGCACCATTTTACATTCCCGCCAACGATGTGCAGGCTCACCGGCATGTCTGTTTCTGGTTTTGGAGAGCACCCAACCCCATCGCTGTAGTTCTGATTTGTACTTCTCTATTCGTGACACTGAGCGTATCCCACGGGCTTGGTGGCCATTGGTGCACCTTCTCTGGAGAAATGTCTGTTCAAGAGCTTTGTCCATTTCTGAATAAAGTTCTTTTTTGTTCTTGAGTTTGAAGAGCACCCTATGTATTCTGGATATTAATCCATGATCAGACTCGTGATTTGCGAACATTTTCTCCCACTCTGTGGGTGGCCTCTGACTCTGTGGACAGTGTCTCTCGATGCACAAAACGTTTCATTCTCAAGTAGTCCAGTTGCTGGATTCTGGTGTCCCATCCAAGAAATCACTGCCAAGTCCAGTGTCCTCCGTTCTCCCCTAAGAGTTTCATTGTCTTACGTCTTACATTTCGGTCCCTGATCCAGCTTTTTGTATGTGATGTGAGGTAAGGGTCCAACTCCATTCTTGTGCATGTGGACAGAGACTGCATTTGCTTTTTTAACAAAAAGATATGAATGTGTCAAGACAGAGAGATACGGGGACTAGAAGGCAGAGCAAACAGACACCCAGGGCAGTGGCTGGAGGCCAGGGCGGGAGGGCGGCAGAAGTCAGGAGGATGCGGGGGGCGGGGGCTGGCGCAGGCAGGGAACTCTCCCTAACGGAAGGAGGCCAAGAACAAATGGCCTGTCCCAGATGCCTGGTGAGTTCCTAGTAAACAAGGAAACAATGACCACAAACCCCTAAGGTCACCCCTGCGACAGCTATGCAATGCAGGGACACACTGCATTCCCAACTGATGCCCAAGGTTTTCTTCCCACTACCACGATGGCCTGCAGTGCTCCCCTACCCTCCCTTCAGGCTTGGGAGGCACAGGCTCTCCTCAGTTCAAAAGTAGTGCAAACAGGTTTACTCAACTGAACCTGGAAGCACATGGAGGTTGACTGCATACCCGTTCAGCTGGGGGACCCTGAGTTCAGGAGTGCTGCTCCCATCTCACTGTACTGAAACTTCACTGAAAGGAAGCCACGGAGAAAACCCCGAAGGCAAGTATACTTAGCCAGGATGAGCCATCCACCTGAGCTGAGGACGTGGCCCAAGGCTGGGCTGGTAAAAGCAGACAACTCCAACTACGTCTGCCATGAGGAGGCTGCTCTGGAGTGAGGCCTGTCCTGAAATCACAGCAAGCAAAGTACAAGCTTCCACAGGGCCTGACTGGGGGCTCCGTGCCCTGGGCTCCATGAGGGTCCAGCCAGCCCCAGCTCTGCCTTCTGTGCTTGCTGAGGGCGCACCGGGCTCCAGCCTCAGTGTGGGGGGCAATGCGGAGGCGATGGGTAAGGGGGGGCACACCGAGGACAGAGATGGGGAGGCGATGGGAAAGGGGGGCGCACACCGAGGCCAGGGATGGGGAGGGGATGGGTAAGGGGGGGCGCACACCGAGGACAGAGATGGGGAGGGATGGGT